CTTTTAATACTACCTGACTTGAATCTTATTCCAAAAACATTTTCTCCCATTTATAGGCTTTCAGAGGTTTGACTAATCACACCCTGAGAATGTTAGACAAACAGTGAAACAAAGGTAAAACACCATTGTGCCCACACTTTTTTCTAAGAAAGATAAAGGCTTATTACACTATAGCCTTACTAGGAACCCATGTCACCCAGTTATGTTTTCAGGAAAGCCAGTATAACCTACACGATCACATTAATGCTAAGATCCTCAAAAAAGTGGTTAAGAAAGAAGCTGAACCTATATTAAATAAAAAATTTACTTTTTTGTACCTTTTTAATTCCCTTAGGCATTTCAACTGCCTTTATATAGGCCCCGTGTAAACAGGGCTAAACAATAAGACAAACCAATTTTTTTTTAAGTTCATGTTATTTCTATATTATTAAGTACTATGCCCCAGTTTTTTGATGGCACATAGTAACAAAAAACACACACTTGGTTGGAAAAATCTAAACAATCGTAAACAGGAAAATTTCAGGTCTTCTAATGGCAAGTCTTTAGTTTGATGACTAACTATCTGCATGATGGAGAAGAGATTCAAAGTAAATCAGATGGTGATATTTTTATATCTGGTGAACCAATTTGTTTGAGGGTTACACAGTTTGAAAGGAGTCCTTTGAAAACAGGAATAATAATGACCGATGAATTTTTGGAATGGGTGTTTGCTTGGGACTAACCAACAAATGAAAACTTAAGCATTGTGAAAAACTGAAGTAATCACAGCACCCACTCTCTGTGCAACCTCTGCTAATTGTCATGCTTCCTCTGGAAGATTTTCTGGCTTTTGTGGGCAAAGAAAATAATGCAGACCTTTATTTATAATGAGTCAATATGGGGAGAGCTTAAAATATAGATTTCTTATCAGATAAGTGATTTCCAGAAGCAGAGTCACATATGTATTAAAAACTATAGAAAAATAATAGATTTTGTTTGCATATTGGTCAGGGCTCTTAGAATTTTGCAAAGAAGTTTGTCTTGTTTCTGCTTTAACACATACTTAGGTATGTAAGCATGGTAAAATATTGTTCTCATGAAACCACTTTTGAGCTCTGGGTGAGTTTGGACTTTTGTGTTTTCTTTACTTTTTTTCCCCTCTTTTGTTTGCATTTTCTGGGGGTTGTTTTCTTTTTTTGCTTTATTACAATTAGTAACAAAAGTTCAAAATTTGCCATGAGAGAAGTTTGTTGGAAATGTTTTTTAATGAATTATATTATCTGAAAAATGTTTCTGTGTGCCAAGAAAATAAATATCAAAATATTGCTATCCACATTGCTTTTTCTACCCACCACGTTGAAGGTCTACAGCAAGGAAAAGCAGATGAGATCAATTTTTGTCTTTTTCTGTTTTATTTTTCTTTATTTAAGGCTTTCTCATCTAGAGAAAGTGGCTATTTACAAGGCTGGTTGAAGCATATTTAAGTCCAACAGTTGACTGAAAAATAGTTCTGTGTGTGTTCTTTATCCTCCCACTTTATGTTCTTCTATATCACAAAACTGTAATACTTTGAACTTAATCAGCACCTAATGGCAGATGGAGGACTTCACCCACTCGCTATGGGTTGAGATGAGAGTCCTTAGCCAGGTGCACAGGGTACTCTGAATTTAATGGCTTTCAGAGAATGGCATTTAAGCTATTTCCTAAGCCAACTATAAAAAGCCACTGAACCGTATGCAAGTTATTCTTCCTCTACCCCCTCCCCTAAATCCCCCCAATGTATGTACCTTAAATTAATGTTAAATGTCAGATGGACTCTTCTGTCTGCTGCTTGAAAATAACTTGAGTGATGAGGTTGTGTGCTGGTATTATTGTTTGCCTTAAATGCATGTTAGGAGTGACAGCTGTAATTTCAATTTTTATCTAGTCCATTACTAAAATAGCTTTAGTGTTAATTAAGAAAACTTTAGTATAAGAGTGCTTTGTATAAGCTGAGACATCTGTGGCCTAAGTCATTGTTTATAATAAGAGATAGAGAAATGAAAATAAATTTTGATGACTATATAAAAAAGATTTAGAGGATCTGACAAATAATTGGTTATATAACACTTAGCTAGATTTCAAATATATTAACTTTATTAGATTTGTTCAGATCATGTGGCATTTATTTGTTCTTGATAGTTTTAGTTAATATATTGCTATAAAAAACTTTTTAACTTCTCTATTTTCAACTGTTTTCCTAGTCTGTTATTAGAAACTGCATAGAGACATCTCCCATCCCACCACCAAAAGCTCTCCAAAGGATTTAGTAACACCATAGCACCTTGAAAAATTAATCTCAACATTAGCCCAAGATAATTCTTGGACAGTTGCAATATTCTCTATCAGCTAAAGTGTAGCTCTTAATGGACTTAGAATAATGGCAAATCATTTATCTTTTCAAATTATTTTGAAGGGAGTCTAGAATGATTGTTGCCAGTCCCTTCTTCATGCCCCTCAACAACAACAACAAAGTAGAACCTTTCTAACATATGGGTGTTGGTCCGTAATTTTCTCTTTAAATAATGGCTTGACCCTGGGGCCCAAGAATGATTTGAGGGAAACCGTAAGCCATGTTTCTGCTCAACTCCAGTCTGAAGTTAGAGGTCTGAAGAAAGAATAAGGCACATATAATGGAATCCAGCTCTTGGAGGACATGAAAAAGGGAATTTTCATGTCATTTCTTGTATGACCTAGCTGTCCAAATTAGCATACAATCATTTCAGCCTTTCTAAATAAAAGGTCTTTTTAACCTTCAAAAAAATAATGTGTACAACTATGACCTACAGCTATCTACTGGGGCTTTGGGGAGAAAAAGGGGGGGAAAAAAGGGAGGAGGATTGGCAATAAATGTTAGCTCAGGGCCCGTCTTTCTCAGCAAAAAGAGGAGGATTGGCATGGATGTTAGCTCAGGGCTGATCTGCCTCACACACAAAAAAAAATAATGGCTTAACTATGGCTATCCTTGGGAGTTTAAAATAATGACATAGGGTATTGTCGTTAAGGGTGAAGGAATTGATTTCTGAAGGAAATTCTTATAAATCTGCAGTCCTCAAAGCCTATCTTTTTCCACATGTATTTTACTGGAATTGTGTTTTTACATTTATGTAATTTATTTCAAGTGTAAATGAATGAGCTAATTGCATTCTCTTATGCATTATATAAGGAACTGCCCAAGGAAAATTTCTCTTCTAAAGAGAAGGTTTGTACTATTGTTGCTCCTTTGTAGTCAGTCTTTACTGATACACAGCAACATAATAGCTCAGATGCAGCTCTTCTGGTTTACCCCACTAATGTAAGGCCACTGAAAAGTCTATGAGAGAGAGACTGAGACTAAGACTGTAGGTTAAGAGACTTCACCCTTCTCCATCTTTGATGTCTGTCATATGGGTCTTCTGGTCTAATCAGTGCAGCCACTGCCTCTACTACTTATGTCTATTCAGGGCTTTTTACATATCCTTCCATATTCATTAGAGGACGTTTTTGACAACCTCACCCCACACTGATTTGTCCTTTCTCCCTGCATTTCCTTGGGAATATACCTTCTGTACCAAAAAATTTAGTATTGATTTGTAAATTGTTTTGTTTGCAAATCAGTTCGTGTGTGTGTGTGTGTGTGTGTGTGTGTGTGTGTGTGCATTGAATCCTCATAATGACTTTAAGTTCCTTGTGGGCTTGGACTATTTCTTGTAGTTGTTCCCCCCCCCCCCATAGCACTGTTTACAATATTGGACACAAAGTAAGGTCTCCATTAAGTGTTTGGTGGTTGATAATTAAAAGGATCAAAGAAAAGTGTCAGCCAGGAGTTATGTATTTTTTAGCTTCTGGTAACTCTGGTAAATATAGTAGCAAAAAATTTCTCTTCCTCTACTCCTCTGCTTTTTATTACAGAAAGCAGCAACTGAATTGTTCTAGAAAAGAGGAGGTGAAGTTAATACTTAAAAGGGAGAGCATTAGGCACTGTTACAAATACATAGTGAAATACCTTTTGCTAGCCCTGGGAAAGATATTGGGCTCGTTTACCTTTTAGCCTGGTTATGACAGATGAGAAAATAAAGGGTACAGAAAATAGAATGTTTGATTTTCTAAGTTGCCCCAAGTTACCATTTTAAAAAACGCCTGCAAGCATTTCTAAAACAGGAGCCTGGTAGCTACAGTTGCCAAACTGGTTTAACAGCGCTGCCTCTACGTATTCTGGGTGAGAGGGAGCTCCGAGTACATAAACTTATCAGAGATCACTATCCCAATCATCTCAGAACAAGTTGTTTAGTAATGTACTGTAGTTTCTGTGCAAACCATCTACCATAAACCACGAAGTGATTCAAGGTTCATAGTTCCTTCTTTGTTCCTTTGTTAATCACTGACTTCTGACTAGTGGGAGGTGCCTCCCAAATTTGCTAATGCATTCTTTTTGGATAAGGATGACGCACAGATTGTCCTAATAAGGACTTAGATTGAGAAAGGACCGCCCCCTCTGAGAAGATGGGACAAGTCAGAGAGAGGGCGGGCAGTTTCTTTTTCAACTAGGGATGACACAAGCATAAGTCATTTCCTTATTAATCGGTTCAAACCAGTTCTTACAGGAACTGGTGGTGATAAATGTGGGACTTCTCAGAAGTCATTCATTTTATTCTTTGTACCACACCAGTGTGCAGCATCAGCTGAGCTGGCCTCACTCTGAGGACGAACTCTTCTGCTAGAGGGGGCTCCGCTCCTAGATTCTCCCAAACATGTTGGTGGGAGAGATTTTTCTCCTTTAAGGAGATGAATTTTATTACTAAAAATCCATTAAAGGATGAATTTTATTCACTAAAAAGAGTTAACAGGATTTCACCAGCTTTGCTGATTGTTGTATTTTTTTCCTCTTTCTATCCAAGACTTGCTTTTTGAGTCCAGGCGGTAAGTGGATTTTTCTTTAACATTTTTCCTGCTTTTCTTCCCAAATGTATCTTTTTCCTTGGGTTGCTGTACCCTGCTTCCAGTGCTGTCCCCGGCATAGGTCCATCTCTGCAGAAGCCATTCCAAGAATACCTGGAGGCCCAGCGGCAGAAGCTTCACCACAGAAGCGAAATGGGCACACCACAGGTGAGACTTCACTCCGTTTTCTTCTCTTCCCCACCCCCACGGTTTCAGGCCGAAATTACATTCACTGCACTCACTGGCATTTTTAGGCAAATAGAGTGAGGTTTGTTTGTCAGTCTTAACAGAAGTTGAGGCTCTGTTTACTTTCTACTGGGAAATTTGGCTTTGTCTAAATCAGAAAATATAACTTCTATTTTATTTATACATCTCCCCAAAACAAGGGTAGGGCTAATGGAAAATAATAGGTCTGTTATGTAGAATGAATTAGTGCCTTGATCTTAAATGATTTATTGACAAGTATACTTCCCAAGTAGATTAAAAAGTTAAAATTTATAGCATAACAAAGTATTGGACTTATTGAGGTCATTTGAATATCTCCCTTCATTTTTGCTCCATTTTTCTTTTCAGAGGTGGGAAGATCGTTTTTTTTTTAATCAACCAAGGCTCTTAACATAGCTGAACTTAAAAACTTTAACTTAAACTAAGCCTGTCTTTTCTGTAAACAGTTCTGTGGCAAAGGGAAGTGACTAGAAGAGGATGAGTAAGCAGTAACTTGAAATGGGCATCTTGAAGGACGCATGGTTGTTTTTTTTGCCATTTCTTTTTTTATGGTTTTACACTGCTTATGTGGCCCTTTGCTGCCCTCAGTTGACTAAACATGACTTCAGAAATAGATAGCATTTATATTTTAAAAGCCACTCCCAATACTGGAACAAGAATATATAGCTATCTTGACACTACTCTCTACAAGTAGTAGAATTTAATCAAAACTTTATTTTTATATAGTAAAGTAGAATTTAATTTAAGATAGTAGAATTTAATCAAAAACTTTTTTATATAGTAAAGACAAGATGACCTCACATTTGTCCCATTCTAAACTATATGAATCAACATTGATTTTATATGTAACAAAGTGAAATCTTAATAACTGGGTGTAAAAAGGCCTGAATATAGATTTCAAGGTAGCTGGAGATGTAAGACTTTTTCATTTTTAATTGTTTAGGCTTTATAGATTATAAACTCCCAGTTCTTACTTTCCTTCAAACATTGTGTATGATTCCCTTTTTGCTACTGAACTAATGAAGTGTTTCTCGTGGATTGTTCTGCCTCTGTTCTTGCAGGGAGGAAACTGGTTGTCCTGGATGTTTGAGAAGTTGGTCGTTGTAATGGTGTGTTACTTCATCCTGTCCATCATTAACTCCATGGCACAAAGTTATGCCAAACGAATCCAGCAGCGGGTGAACTCAGAGGAGAAAACTAAATAAGCAGAAAAAGGTTTTAACGGCAGAAATTAGAATGGATGGGTTCTGCCTTAAATTGGGAGGACTCCAGGTCAGGAAGGAAAATTCCCTTTTCCAACCTGTATCAATTTAAAATTTTTTTTTTCTTGAAAGCAGTTTAGTCCCTATTTTGCACGGACATACTTTTCCTTTGTGTGTTAAGGTAAGGTATCCACCCTCAATTGGTGGAATGTGATGTTCAGCAGCAGACTTGACAGAAACTGGCCTTCTATTTGTTACTTTCAAAAGGCCCACATGGTACAATTAAAGAATTCCGAACACCAAAAAAAAGTTCCTAAGTATGTTAAATATGTCAAGCTTTTCAGGCTTGTCGCAAATGACTGTTTTGTTTTTCTAAGTCATCAAAATGTATATAAATTATACTAGATTGGATAACAGTCTTGCATGTCTATCATGGTAAAATTTAATAGGCCATCCTGCCCAGCCCTTACTCTCCCACCTTCAAAACAAGGCCATTTTATGATGCATTACACATCCTCTTTGGAAGCTGATCTTTAAATTTCGAGACAGTATAAGGAAAACTGGTTGGTGTCTCATGAATGAGCTGACACCATTTTTTATTCTGTATATTTAGAATGAAGTCATGAAAAACCTTTATAAATACATCTTGATCATTCCAAAATTGTGTCCGTTTTCTTGAGCGTTTTGATTTTTCACTTTCTTTTAGCTTCTACCAACTAATGGCAGCCTTGTCAAATCCACCTCCAGCCGTAATTCCTTAAGCCTTCATTTATTTGCATGAAAGAGCCACCACCAAGGCATTGTTTCGTTAGGCTGGAACTGGGCAGCTAATTACCCACTGCTGAAATGGCACCTTAGGGACTGGCATAGCGAGGGGATTTCTTGCTTGTGAAAACAGGAGAAATGATAGTATACAAATCAAAGGACACTGAAGAGAGAAATAACTTTTTTTAAAACTGCACTGTCTGATATCTGTGATAATTTTAGCTCAGCTACATGTACTCTGGTTTTAATAGACAGAAATTGACTTGTATATGTAACCTAATTTTCTCTCCTTCTAGTAAGTGTTTTGTTCTTATGTGATTTTTCCTTTGGGATGTTTCTGGTTGAACTTGGTTGTTTTGTTTTGCTTAGGAGGAAAATCAACAATTTCACTTTTTTCCCTTAGGAAAATTGGTACTGACATTACGTTGAGAGTAGAATTGGGTTTAAATCTCGACAGGCCAGAAACACCTGATTTGTTTCATCAAATCCTGCCTAAATGTCTGCTTGTTTTGCCTACCGTCGTGACATCTCCATGGCTGTACCACCTTGTCGGGTAGCTTATCAGACTGATGTTGACTGTTGAATCTCATGGCAACAGCAGTCGATGGGCTGTCTGACATTTTGGTATCTTTCATCTGACCATCCATATCAAATATTCCCATTCAAACATTACCCAGCATCATGGTTTATGATCAGAAACTCGGGTCCTTATGTCTAGAAGCACTGAATCTTTTATGCCATGATATTGCAGCAGTGTCAAGAAGATTTTATGGAAAATTGGGATAGTCACCATGACCACAGCTAAATAAATGAAGGACAAGCAACCTGCCTTGGGGTTGAAAAGGTTATTACTTCTTAACAATCTTTTTTTTTTCCCGTCCAGGGACTCTCTGACAGTTATGACTATTACCTTACTTGAAAAGCAGTACCCAAATGCTTTAATTTAAATAGATTCACATCAACCGACAATTTTTTAGATTCTTTAGGGTTAGCCTGAGTTTCTAAGTCAGCTTCCAGCCATGTTTCATCTCCTTCACCTGCATTTTATTTGGTGTTTGTCTGAAGAAAGGAAAGAGGAAAGCAAATATGAATTGTATTATTTGTACTAAATCTTTCAGATTTATTGGTAAATTTATTTCAAGGTAGGGTATTAGAAAAAGAAAAACTTTGTTTCTTAGGCTGAAGGTCTCAATGAATAATACATTTGACTTACGATCACAATTTGTTCACTCCTTCAAATGAATTTACTTTGAAAACAAAGAGCAGCTCTCCTTTCCTCCACTGAGCAGATGATCCTGCTGGATTCCTGCTGGAGCAGTATGCTACCCTTCTGTTCCAGTGGTTGGTTTCTTCCTTTCCTGTATCCACCAAAGTGGACATAAACAGCTACATGATCCCAAAAACATACCCAGTTAATTCCAGCTGACGGGAGACCAGAAAATTTGTAAATGGATGGTTTGATATTACTGCAAATAAAAAAAGGGCCTGGGAATTCTGATTGCATCTCTACTTTACGTCTTATTTTATGCCTTAAGTATATGCAGTGTTTTATGATACAACTCAGTGAGTGCCAAGCAGTACAATGCAATACATCAGCAGTTTATACACTCAAGTGCTGAGGAGCAGCCCCCTTAAAACAATTAACATAATGTGGAAACATGCAGTGTTTTCTGTGTACTCTATATACATAATCTGGAGTGTGGGGCTTGGAAGAAAGGGAGATTTTTACTTTCATTTGCATAAGGGCAGCTATTCCCACTCTCTAAAAATCCAGAAAAAGACGAGGCCACAGTGAAGTTTCTGAAACACAACTATTTAATTGAGTAGGTAGTGGCGAGTGCTCCTATGTAAAGACGCTCAGCCCGTGTTCCCAGTGTGCTCTGTGCTGAGCATAGCTTCAGTAGGACAGCATAAGGCTTATCTCCTCCACTAGTCACTCAGCAGTGTCTTCACTGAGTACAAATAGTTCATTAAGCTAAATAAAATAACCAATTGCCCTCTTGTACCCTCAGGCAAATTGTGTTTTGACTGACCCATGTGTAATGAGCTCATAGAAGTTCCCAACATTTTAGTATCAAAAAGCCTTGCCATATATTTTGAAACCTGCTTGCCCCCGTGTGCAATAGTCTTCTGTTAATGATGGTTTAGGTTTCTATCTCATAAGTGACCTCGAGAAAGTTTTTAACTCGGAGCCTAGGTTTCATTTATAAAAATAGAGATGGGGGCTGGCCCCGTGGTGTAGCAGTTAAGTTCTCTCACTCTGCTCCAGTGGCCCGGGGTTTGCTGGTTCGGATCCCAGGTGCCAACCGACGCACTGCTTGTCAAGCCATGCTGTGGCGGCGTCCCATATAAAGTGGAGGAAGGGGCCGGCCCCGTGGCTTAGCGGTTAAGTGCGTGCTCTCCGCTGCCGGCGGCCCGGGTTCGGATCCCGGGTGCGCACCGAGGCACCACTCCTCCAGCCATGCTGAGGCCGCATCCCACGTACAGCAACTAGAAGGATGTGCAGCTATGACAGACAACTATGTACTGGGGCTTTGGGGGAAAAATAAATAAATAAAATCTTTAAAAATAAATAAATAAATAAAGTGGAGGAAGATGGGCACGGATGTTAGCTCAGGGCCGATCTTCCTCAGCAAAAAGAAGGATTGGCATCAGATGTTAGCTCAGGGCTAATCTTCCTCACAAAAAAGAATAAAATAAAATAGAGATGGCCAGGAGCCTGGCCCTGTGGCCGAGTGGTTCAAGTTCCTTGCACTCTGCTTCGACCACCCTGGTTCGAGGGTTCGGATCCTGGGCGGGGACCTACTCCACTCACCAGCCATGCTGTGGCGCTGTCCCACGTACAAAGTGGAGGAAGATTGACACAGATGTTAGCTCGGAGTGAACTTCCTCAGCAAAAAAAAAAACAGATGGCCAGGTTGTCTTAAGGATTAAATCAGATAAAATGTAAAGTACTGCCATATATGTTAGTGTATTCCCAGTTTTTACTTCATCAAAAACAGAGCATTTGATACACATGCAAGAATTTTACAACATTGCATTTACTCCAAAAATGTTTTTAAATGCTGTCAGCATATACACCCTTGTTTTGCAATAGACACACTCTGTCTAAAGAAGTGAAAACAAATCCAAGATACAAATTAATAAAGAGAAAAGCAGAAATTAATGGACTAAGGACTTGATTAATAAGACCAAAACGTTTTTAAATGTGATTCTCCGGGTAGCCTACTTAAGGTACAACTCACAGATACTCAAAATTTACTATGAAATGAAAATACTTTTCTAACCACCCCACCTTAAAATGTTGACGTTTTCTAATTTCTTTTTATTATAAAGATAGTTAGTACTAAAAAATCTGGAAGGTAAAAGGAACATTCATTTTTAATACCTTATTAGAAATGCTCCATCTAGAATATCCAGTGAGATTTGCTGGATGTAAATAGATTTTAAACAGTAAAAAAAAAAATTGATTTGGTGGCATGCAAAATCTTCATCAATAGACCTAAAAGTCTCATTCCTGTTAGAGAAACACAAAAAAATGGTTTATTTTATTCATAAGTAATTAGTTATTAATGTTCTCACAGAAAGTTAAAACAACCTGAGCAGGGGTTTAATAGCCATTTTTGAAAGCCAAGTGTCATTCGTCTCTAACTCACATTGATCAAAGCTTCTCTGGTATTCACTAAACATGGTAAATGAAATGCTACACAGAACTGTTCCATTTGAAGTGTTTTGTTCCCTTATCCTCAAAGACAACAAGAAAAGAAAGGACATAATGTACTCTAAAATTCTGGTATCAATTGAGTCATTCGTGTCTGGTAGTCAGGGGCTTGGGTTCCTGTCCCTCCCTTCCCAAGAAGGCCAAGAGGTCACCTGAGGTAACGTATTTGCCTAGGGGTGAGGTCTTGAATTGCAGCAAATAACCTAGATGTATTTGCATATTTAACCACTACTCATAAGAGGATTAACACAGAAACCTGTTCTGGACAGCTGCTTACTCACTGCCTTTAGAATCGCGTGGTGCTGGGATAGGCAGGTGCCAACTGTTTGCTCACTCTCTTTGACCTACTAGCCTTGCACAGTTTGCTGTGTGGGTGTTGATACTACTAAATTAAAAGAAAAAAATTTGTTTTAGATGGCCCCCACTCTCCACCCAAACACCCTGGATTCATGTGAGATCTGTGATTCTAATTCTGTAGTGGGAGACTGGCCCAAACTGTGGCCCAGAGAGAGTGAGTCAGTTGTAAGTGGCTGACTGACTCAATGGGAACAGAAATGAAATGCAGCTTAGAGGGTTTGTCAGCCAAATCCACAAATGTGTGGCTTTTTGAAACATTGGACATCTGTTCCTCTTAATTTAAAATAAACTTTTTTAAAAAGCACAAAGTTGTTTGGCTCCTTGTATCTTGGTGTCAGCAGCAGTTGCTGCTCTTACTTAGGAAGCCTAGAATCAAAGTTAGAAATTTTGTAATCTTTAGGGCACACTTCAGAGAGGGAGGAACTGACTTGCTTTGGGAAGGGAAGAGATGATTTTACAGTAAAGAGTTTGGAAATCCCCTTCAGGGGTAATCAGCCCAGGTGTTCAACCCATTTGTTAACCATTTCCAAATGACTCAAAGGACGTAGAGGGAGGGCTTGGACACACTCCAGCACTATTTCTACAATGTAGTCTTTATTTGCATTGGAAACCACATTTCCCGAATTCTTCAGGGGAAGGCTCTGGGTTATTCTAGGCATCTTTGACCAAGAGGGACCCCTGAGCCACCTATCTAAGTTAACAGTCCCGGCCTTTTGAGTTTCCAGGGAGGAGTATTTACAACTTGCTTTGATGGCCTTCCACTTAAAGCCCTTTGAGGAAAAGCCTTGTTCATTCAAGGAGGCCCTATAGGCCACTTTTCTCTCCCCCTACCTAATCCCAAATGTGGCGTTTCCCTTTATTGCTGTCTATCCCCTTTAGGGGAGAGCATGAGCAGTTTTTTCCTTCAGGTCACTTTTGACTGGCCCAGCCGGACAGCATTGCTTAATTGTGTCCCAGTCTGTTTCCGATGGGAAAAAAGGTTTTCGTGGAGTGAGGCAGTTTGGGATTTGAAAAGAGGGACGGTTCCGCCTTTCCCTGAAGGTGGGGAATGACTGTTCAGATTACTGTTGTCTTCCTTTGGCTCCTTACCGGGTTGTGTTGGAAACAAAGAGCAGTTCAGGTTCACTCCTCTTGGCAGTAGTGCTGAAGCCCAGCATACCACGTCACCCGAGAACCATGTTGTTCTCAACCTCTTTTCATTAGTTAAAAAGATGAAAGCCAGAAGTAGCCAGAGGAGGCCTTTCTCTGCCTTTCTTTTTTCAGTGCACCTCACAGCCTCATGAGAGTCAGTTTCACTTGAGTGACGGTCCTAAATCTCTTACAGCAGCCAAACTTTCTCTACCTAACCTCACGTTGTTTGGCCATACTCTTGAGGCTCTTCAGACACCTCTGCTCCATTCTGCCCATTGCACTAGCCCCTTCCCACTCCCATGTCCCTGCCATGGCATACTCTTTGTACACAGCTACACAACACCGGCAATCACAACACCTGGGAGATTAGCTCCCAGGAACCTCCTCCAGGTACAGTGCCCTGTACCAGGAAGCACAGTGGATTACTATTAACTTTGATAATGATTGCCTGCTTGCTTCGTACCAGGCACTGTCTTCGGTGCTATTTTACATGTATTGTATTTAATCATTAAATCCTTAGAACAACCCCATGAAGGAATTAAGGTAGAGACGTTCAGTAATTTGCTGGAGGAAGCAAGGAAGTAGCCGAGTAAGGATTCAAAGCTAGGCATTCTGGCTCTTAGCCACTCAGTTCTGCAGAAAAGTCCAGTACAAAAGTCCAAGCTTCTGTGTACTTGTTTGATCTTGTGATCACAGGTAAGTAAGGAGAAAGAAAGACAACAGAAAATCAAGGCCACAGGCTAAAAAGTTTTGCTGTTTAAATAGATGAGCAGCCTTTGTGCTTCCCTATATCACAGGGTTGGAAAAGCCAGCTCCATTCTTAGCCATCCTGTGTGGGCAGGTTCCCAGAGTGGTGTTCACTATAATTATGATTACAAAGCAATTTCTCTTTGTACAGACCTTTTTTCTTTTTCAAAGCACTTTCACATCTTGAATTTTATTTGATCTTCATAACAACCCTATGAAAGAGTTAGAGCCAGTTGTGGCACTAGTCACATTAGGCAAAAAATTTTTTTAATTCATTTTTTTAAATCTCTACTGGTTTAGGGTACTGTGGGGAAGGGACAAAACTGTTGAAAAAATATCTTCCTCCAGGAGCGTACAGTCTTCTTGGGGGTATTATGCATATATGCAGATAACTACAATGTAGAGTGAGATGAATGCCAGAAGAAAAGACTTGAGAAGAGGGGGAGAATTGCTGACTAGGAAGGATCAGCAAAGGTTTCATGAGGATGTAGCATTTGAACTGCCAGGTAGGGGTGGGGAGAGGGAAGGTATTCCAACTAGAGAAAGCCCTGTGAGAGAGACCCCGAAGGTGCAAGTAGGGGAGCTATGTGTCCAGTAGGTAGAAGAGACAAGACCAATGAGCTATCTAAAGTCAGTCCACTGGGCCGGCCCTGTGGCTTAGCTGTTAAGTGCGCTCACTGCGCTGCTGGCAGCCCGGGTTCGGATCCTGGGCGCGCACCAACGCACCGCTTCTCCAGCCATACTGAGGCCGCGTCCCACATACAGCAACTAGAAGGATGTGCGACTATGACATACAACTATCTACTGGGGCTTTGGGGGGAAAAAATAAATAAATAAATAAAATTATACAGTCCACCTACCTCCTCTGTTCTTCTTTGCCTAGCCCTGTTTTGTTTCCTTTACAGTACCTACATAATTCACAACTAGTTTGCCTATTTTCTTGGTTTTGCTCTGTTTCCTCCACTAGAACTGAAGTCCCATAAGGGCAGGCACTGTTGTACTCTCCTTTGTTTTCCCAGAACTGTGAGCCTACCTGGCACTTGGTAGGCTCACAGTGAGTATTTGCTGAATGAATATTCCAATAGTCCAGGTGAAGCAGCAGTGGAGATTCAAAGGCAGGTAGGAGGTGCTATCTAAGTAGAATCCAGGGTCCTGGGCAAAACGAGAGTAAAGGAGGTGGAGTAAAGGTAAAGAAGGAACCAAAGACCCCTGAGAAGACAGCAGTACTGACTGATCACCGAACCAGGAATATAGGAGGAGGAGCAAGTTTGAGGGAGAGACGCTATTCTGTTTTGAACATACAGAGGGAAGATACTGATCAATAGAATGGTGGGGCTTACTATGCTTCTGTATCTCAGGTTTCCTAACTTCTAAGTTCCTAGTGAATGTGCTACCCATTAGACCACTCCATAACTTCTCCCTGTCAGAGAATAAACTGGACTTTTTCAGAAAATTCTCTAGAGTAATATGTCCTCTGTACTTTCCCATAGGTGATTAAGCCTTGACTTGTTATGTAGCACTATTCTTGAAGAGGTGGCACTGTGACTTGACCTTGGGGCCACAGGAAACTGCTTTAAAATTTCTCTCCCCAGTTGTATCCTGCTTGCTTAACCAATGGCTCCTCCCTAGGAGAACTGGGAGGATGGTAATTCCTGGATAGATTGTCTGTCTTTATAAGGAGAAAAGTTTGGCAATGTGATTTCCTGTATATTTCTACTGGAGTCCAAGATCCCAGTAATGCTAGCCTAGACAGCAGTGGCAACCACCTAGAACCCAGATGTCATAAGTATTCCCAAGTAAGTGCAAGGGCATCCTCCCAGCTGCCTTTGCCAAGCCAAAAGGCAGAATCACCGCTTTATTACACCTTCTAGAGCATGTGGTCAAGGCGGCTTTCCATTTGGCTGCTTTGGTGCTGGGGTTGTTTACATGTCTCACTAAATGAGTTATGCTTATTGAAGTTGGCTGGGTAGGAGTTCAGAATAAATGACATATGACCACAATTATACCACTCACCAGAAGCACCAGAGTTCAGAAAAGGAGAGATTTGCTTGTGTAATAATCCTTTGGAGAAGAGAGGTACAAAACGTGAGTATTCCACTCTCAAGTGGGTGCAGTTTTCGAAGCCTGGGTGAACTGAGGTGTCACCGGCTTTCTGATGGAATCAGACTTAATTAGATGCCTGTCTGGTAAAGCATAAGTGTGGGAGTGCTTTGCACAACTTCAGGAGAAGAAAAAAGCTGAAAAACAGTGCTTTTAGAAAAAAATCAAAGAAATTTTCAGATGTTCTGCATTTTCTTCTTCAAAAGTAAAGAATCCATCTGAGCATAAAAGACATCCCTGGTCTCTGCAAGGAGGAAGTAAAAAGTTCTTTCATACACAAAAGCTTTCCTACTTTATACACTTCTTTTTAGGCGACTTCCAGACGTACGTGTATGTGTGTCATATATTTATTAGTCTTCCCTGGAGCAGACAATGTTCATTAGAAGAACATGTTGAGACAATAAGACCCCAAAGTTAGTCTTTTTGTGTGTGTGTGTGAGGAGGATCAGCCCTGAGCTAACATCCATGCCAATCCTCCTCTTTTTTTTTTGCTGAGGAAGACTGGCCCTAGGCTAACATCCGTGCCCATGCTCCTCCACTTTATATGGGACGCCGCCACAGCATGGCCTGACAAGTGGTGCATTGGTGTGCGCCTGGGATCTGAACCCAGGCCACCAGCAGCGGAGCATGCACACTTAACCGCTATGCCATGGGGCTGGCCCCCCAAAGTTAGTCTTTAATTTCTCCCTTCCTCCTCTGCTACTTAAGGAACCTGGAGGATCCATAGTTCCTACACCCTCTTTATGTGATAGTTTATAAAACAATGATGCTGCTTACTGTTTCCACCCCTTCTTACTGCCTTCTAACTCACTTGACTTATTCCTCCATTCTTCAGTCTGTCTCTAGGTGTTAACATCCTTTTAAAAATCATTTGAGTTACTATCTTTACATTGGCGGTGGTGGTTGTTTTTTGTTGTTGTTTTTTGCTTGAGGAAGATTCACCCTGAGCTAACATCTGTGCCAATCTTGCTCTATTTTATATGTGGGTTGCTGCCACAGCATGGCTGACGAGTGGCATAGGTCCGCACCCAGAATCTGAACCCGAGAACCCAGGCTGCTGAAGCGGAACACGCCAAACTTAACCACTATGCCATGGGGCTGGCCCTTGTATACCTTGGGTTTTTAAAGCTTTTTTTTTAAAGAACAAAAGAAATGCATGATATAAAAAAAAAAAGAAGGAAATCCCCTGAGAAATTCACTCCCCCAAAGAAATTACTAGGAAATCTAGTGTGTATCCTTTCAGTCCTGCTAAAAAATGCTCTGAGTCTCCCATTCTTCTTGGTCTTGGGGGCCCGGCAGTGGGGAAAAGCAGGGGCAGGCAGGATCACTGGGGCATGTCTCTCATCTGTATCTTCCGGGGAGTGACAGATTGCTCCATCCCTGTCCTTACTGAACAAAATCAGACATGACCATATGGACAAACAGATGTGTTTTCTGTAACAACATTCAACAGCCCTTTCTGTCTTCCTTGGCTACTACAGCACACCTAAAGGAAACAGTGGAAGACGAGGCCAAACGTTGGATGGCTTAGAATTCCGGGACCAGGAGTTTAGATTTTAGGCAAGACTTACAAACAAAGGCAAGTCTTCATTCTCTTAACGTATTGTTTGAATTTATATTGTCTTAAATGGCTTTTAATTATATAAGATGGCTTCAGAGACAAATTTTTTTTTTTTTTTTAAAGATTTTATTTATTTTATTTTTTCCCCCCAAAGCCCCAGTGGGTAGTTGTATGTCGTAGCTGCGCATCCTTCCAGTTGCTGTATGTGGGACTCGGCCTCAGGATGAACGGAGAAGTGGTGCCTCAATGCGCACCCGGGATCCGAACCCGGGCCACCAGCATCGCAGCGCGTGCACTTAACCACCAAGCCACAGGGCCGGCCCCAGAGACAAATATTTTTAAAGATTTTATTTATTTATTTTTTCCCCCAAAAGCCCCAGTAGATAGTTGTATGTCATAGCTGCACATCCTTCTAGTTGCTGTATGTGGGACTCGGCCTCAGCATGGCCGGACAAGCGGTGCGTCCGTGTGCGCCCGGGATCCGAACCCGGGCCGCCAGCAGCGGAGTGCGCGCACTTAACCGCTAAGCCACGGGGCCGGCCCAGAGACAAATATTTTTAATTATATTTATATTTCCAGGTCCTTAGTTTCACCTCATAGTTGTGAGATCTGTTGCTAATACGTGAGCTTTAAGGGGCTTCACTGTAGACCTGTAGTTTTGCAGCTTTATATCTCTTCCATGGTTTTTTAGACATTTATATTAATCTGTTCAGTAAACATGGAGTCTCTACCATGAGCCAGGCATAGGCTTTGTAGCAAAGAATATACCAAATGGGGAACTCCTTAAGGATGGGGCTAGGTTTAACTCATTTTTTTACCTCCCTGTCCTAGCAGTGTCTTTCCTTGCAGGTGTTCAATGGACGTCTGTTGAATTAAGCTCACATTCTGCCTCTTTCATGTTGTTCACATGAGCGGAGCTTAAGCAAAGGCCTCCTTTTTCAAAAAGGAAACTCCCATCTTTTGCTTTATGTCATGTTTCTTACTATCACGTTCCCATGACCTCTCACCTAGTAACGACAAGTGTCGTTCAACTCCAGTTTCTACAATTCCCAGGACTTTGCTCCAGAAATGTCTAGAATAGACCTGTTTAATAGAAATATAATGCAAGCCATATATCTAACTTAAAAAATTTTAGTAGCTACATTTTAAAAAGTAAAAAATGAGTATAACCAATTTGAATAATTTATTTAATATGTCTGAGGTATTTCAACTAATTTAAAATATTAATATTTTACATTCTTTTATTCATATTGCCTTTGAAATCCAATGTGTATTTTACACCTATAGCACTAGCCACATGTGGCTAATGGCTACCTTATTGGACAGCATGGGTATAGAATCTTTGAATTTTTGTGTACTCACCATGTAAATAATTAAATTCAAACAGGACAAGAGAGCCATAAAAGTATCCATCTTATAGGCTCCATCATCGTCAAAGGAGATAAATTCGGGTAAGACAATTATTTGCTAAATGACATGTAATTTAGCTTACTATTTCATTTTAAGCTATTCTTAGATTTTTTTTTTTTTTTGCTGAGGAAGATTCGCCCTAAGCTAACATCTGTGCCAATCTTCCTCTATTTTGTATGTGGGACGCCGCCATAGCATGGCTGACAAGTGGTGTAGGTCCGCACCTGGGATCCAAACCTGTGAACCCAGGCCGCTGAAGCAGAGTGCACTGAACTTAACGACTACACCACGGGGCCAACCCCTATTCTTAGATTTTTTCGTCGTTAGGTAAAGTCCATAATTCAAAAACCATCAAGTTTTTTGGAAATGCTTGTAAGCTATTAGCAGTTCTTTGGGGGCATCATCAGTTCCCCCACCTTCCTTTTCATTTCTTCCTGCTTCAGTGGCTCCCTAGAGTCTAAATGATTAGGATTTTCTACCTTTTCCCTCTTCCCCCTTGAATGCCATATCTTCTCCAATACTGACCTGACACTGTGTTCTCCAGAAACTTGAAATATTTACATTGTTTATCTTAACTTCTTGTGCAAGCATTCCTGCTGGTGGAAATAGGATTCCATTTATTAATAAGGCTAACACTGCATCATCTGAGACATTTCAGAGTGTAGAAGTAGGAAGTTATGTAGTTAAAAATGTAAAGCTAGATTTTTTAGCTCACATTCCTAAAACCCATGGGAAACAATGTAATTGATACAGATGAGCAAATATCTCTTAAATTAAATAACTGATTATTTGCCAAAAATGACAAGTTAGTGAGTAAAGCCATATTTGGTAGGTAAGTGGAAGGACAAGAAAGGGTTGACTGCCAAACCTTGGGCTCATGGGAAGAGAACAGTGGGATGGGAACATATGGAGCATGTTTTAAAACAAAATTTTGGACAAGAATTCAAGTGTGATAAACATGGTGCTCAGGAAAAGAATCACTGGTGTGTACACTGCGGAGTAGAGTCACAGAGCCAGCGAGAAGCTGTTTCAGACAAATTTAAAGCCAAGACTAGAGCTCCCAGCTCATCGTTCTTTCCCTTGTTCCACATCTTTCCTGTAAAAAAGTTGGACATGGACATGGGCAAGATAGTAAGCAATATTTAGGAAGCCAGAATTGTAGCACCACACATCCAAAGAAACTTAATTATGTTGTCAGCTTCATTTAGACTATGTGGTATTGATCCCTATACATCTTGTTCAGTGTCTGGCACTGAATAGATATTGGTTGAATGAGTGAACTGACTTAGAATAGTGAATTGTGGGCACACTTACTGAGTTCCATGTGATGGGTTAAATAAAATAGAAAGATATTGGGGCCAGCCCCGTGGCTTAGCGGTTAAGTGCGCGCGCTCCGCTACCGGCAGCCCAGGTTCGGATCCCGGGTACGCACCAACGCACCGCTTCTCTGGCCATGCTGAGGCAGCGTCCCACATACAGCAACTAGAAGGATGTGCAACTATAACACACAACTATCTACTGGGAATTTGGGGGAAAAAAAAGGAGGAGGATTGGCAATAGATGTTAGCTCAGAGCCGGTCTTCCTCAGCAAAAA